GGGTTTTTTTTTTTTTTTTTTTTTTTTTTACAACTTGCCTACTGGGCTCTACCCTTGGCCTTTTGAGTCAGCATTTCCAGGGGTGCAATGGTAAGGTTGCTAAAGTTTGAGAGAACCTCTACTCTGAACAAAATGTCCTTTTCTAGCTGACTTTAGTTTTCTCAGAATAGTGATTTGACCCAGAGTCTGTCCCAAAAGTGTCAGGGAAGGGGAAGACCTATCCATGCACGAAGACCTCCATTTCTTTGTTCTTCACAGAGGGCCTGTGCCTTGCCTGGTCCTTTTCCTGGAAAGCCCGGCTCATGCTGACTCTGGGTCGGCTTCCACCATCATGCGGAGGGGAGCAGCTCGAGCAGAGGCCCCTGGCACACTGAGAACCTCTCTAGTGAGGGCCCTGCAGTTACCCAAGTTGACTGAGCCCTACAAGGGCCTCAGTAACATGCGGAGCGACTCTGTCCCCAGGCTTCTGCATACCAGAGGTGATGCTGGAGACAGGGGCGCCTCACACAGGACATGACAGGCTCCTCCTCCCATAGACACTGCTGGGACACAGCAGATCCAAGCCTTTCCTGGCTTAGCTTAGTGTTAGGTCTGTTACTGGGGCAGGGGTAGGGGTGCTGCCTGAAAGCCACTCTCCCTCTAGGCACATAGAGGCTGAGTTTCCACGCAGAAATGCTGGTGCCAGAGGAGTTGAAGTCCTGGTCCAACTTCTGCTGTGCTTCAACCTGTAGCTCCTGACACAAGGGGAAGGGTGTAAGCAGTGGCCCATGCCAGAGCTTAGCTGAAGGATCCCCCACACATGCTGTGGGGTATGGCTGCTCTCTTATGTGAATTTTCTCCAAGTGGCTAAATGAGTTTGGGGCTAAGAAAGTGTCTTGTCAAGGAAACTTGTTTGTGTGTTTGGAGATAACCAGAAGGTGCTCCGTGGCCTGCTTTTCTCACAATCAGTGCTCATTGTAGGTGTTTTCTGGGGGTCTCTGTCCCATCTCTAGAGATTCACCACGGCAGCCAATTGTATCAAAGGCTCTAGGATACAAGATACTGTGATAGGAAAGAAGCCTAGAGCTGGAAGCTGTTCCTCTGGAGGGCAGAAAGGTGCCCCTACTTCATTTGTGGAAAGGTCTCTGTGATTCCTTTTTATTTCTTTCTTTATTTTGGTTTTTTTGAGACAGGGTCTATGTAGTTCAGGCTGGCCTTGAACTCACATGTGCATCATTCTCCGCTGTGACTCCATTTTTGTAAGCCTCTATTGTGCTAATTTTTTGCCAGCTTTTTACCACTTGATAGTCTTCAAATTATTGTTCTCATCTTTTTCAGGAGAATGGAAGATGCCATCTTTCCTGCCAACACGTTCCTTTTTCCTTCCTGTGTCTTCCTAGGGAACACGAAAACATATAACCCAAGGCTGCTGCATCATTCACACAGGGAATTTGGCTCACTATCAAGAATGCTACCAAACTTGTTTAAGCACCAAGCGTAGAAAATAGACAAGATTGGATGATATTAAGTTGTCTTTCCAGAGTCACTTTCTTCTGCCTTCAAAGATGCACCCAGGGCTGTGTTCTCAGGTGCTCTTCTTCCATAAACCTCCATTCAAGCCAGAGGAGAGTGGAGAATTCTTCGGTGCCTGAAGGCCAGATGGTCCACTCTCTGTCCAGCCCTGCCCTCCTTGAACTCTTGTGTCGCCCTCACCCACAAGCGATTTTGCCTCCCTGTGAGGAAATCAAGGAACCTGGGACCAAGGCTACCAGGGATTGAATTCCTTTGGCGAAGGCGGAGAGGAAAGGCCTGCTAACAAAACACGCGGCCTCCTCCCTGCGGGAGGATCTCTGCTCTGGCCCCTGTAGGAGGAAGGAAAGTGCGGAGGAAGGAGTAGATGGCGTGGCAGGCAAGGAATGGTGTCTATCTTCAGATCTCTTGGCTCTTATTCTTCAGGAAGATAAAATATAATGGAGGGCAAATGAGGAATGGGAAAAGTTTTTGAAGGACAGGCCGAGCTGAAAAGACGCCCGGCGTCTTCCTTCCCACTCAGTCCGGCGGGCCCTTCTGGCGGCGGGGGCGCTTTCAACCAATCGGCGAGGCGCCTGGAGTCAGCCGGCGATGCTTAACTCCGGGTGGCGGGAGGAGTCAGGTGGCGGGGTGGGGAGAGCCCGGCCCATCGGCCAATCGATGAGCTCACCGGGAGAGACTGGCAGGGCGTCCGGAAGCCGGAGGCGGGGCTGTCTCCTCGGCAACGATCCTAACGGGGGGGGTGTGGCTGGGGGGGGCGTCCTCGGCAACGATCCTAACGGGGGGTGTGTGGCTGGGAGGAGCGGGGCGGGGGCCGGAGAGTGGGGATGAGTCCGCGGGTGCTGGGAGCTGGAGGTCGACGAGGGGGTCTTTGGCTCGAGAGCCTCGATGCGGCCAGAAGGGAGTCCGTCTAGTTTCTCGAGGCCCTACCCGGCCGACCTGGGAGGAAAGGGAGCTAGACACCGCCTCCGCTGGCGCCGGGAAGCGTCGCTCCTTCTCGCTGACCTTGGTCTCGCTCGTCGCCTCGCCCTTTCCACACGCACTGACGGACGAAGGACCCGGGAGGTCGACAGGCAGGGCCCCGGACACAGGGAGACCCAGGACGTGGGGACACAAGCTGCCCCAGCCCCTCCCGCCTGCTCC